AAGAAAGCAGGGAACTCAGGGTACCGCAAAAGTAATCTACGATCCTAATTATAGCGGAGAGAAGGAGGACAAGCAGGCAACTCAAGGTACTGCGGGAGTAATCTATAATCCTAATTATAGCGGAGAGAAGGAAGAAAGGCAAGCAAATCAAGGTGCAGGTCTAGTAATCTATAGTCCGGAGACTAGCGAAGATTCGGATATACCGATTAGGCGGCGTATACGACAACTACCTCAACCGACAGCCTCTCCTGGACCAAGTAAAAGCCTCGCCGAAAGGAGGCGGGGACGTACGAAACTAGTCGCGAAAAAGTCCTATCCAGGGAATAAGAGGCCGATAGGGAGTCAACGGCCGCAGAAGAAGCCTATAATACGAAAGGCACCCAAAGCGAGAACTAAGCGACGAACAAAGCCTAGTGTAGCTGCTCTTCGCGAGATTAGGAGATACCAGAAGACGACCGAGCTGTTAATACGTCGACTACCATTCCAGAGGATCTGTCGGGAAGTTACTATAGATATCGCAAGTAAATCTTCGAGTAGCGTATGCCGGTTCCAAGCAGAGGCCCTCCTCTGTCTACAGGAAGCGACGGAAGCGTTTCTTACACTTGAGTTCGAAGTCTCTAATATGCTTGCAATACATGCGAAACGAGTAACGTTGTAGCAAAAGGATATAGTACTTTGTCGATGGATTCGGAAGCGCTTCCTAGGGGAAAATAACGGAAAAGATGACTTTTAAGCTTTTGGGAATCTGCCGACCATATCTGCCGACCATGTCTGCCGACTATGTCTGCTAACCATATCTTAGGGGAAGGATTAGGACTCCTACCGAGAAGACTTTCCGATAATATTTACTACCTGTACCGACCGTACCTGCCGACCGTACCTGCTGACCGTACCTGCCGACCGTACCTGCCGACCGTACCTGCCGACCGTACCTGCCGACCGTACCTGCCGACCGTACCTGCTGACCGTGCCTGCCGGTCACTCCCGGCAATTGAAGATTACGTACGCAAACCTTATTTGGATCTCGTGTGAAGTGCGCATGTGTTATTACTCAGGCAGCAAACAATCCGTAGCCTCTGATTGGCCGAGCGGTTGTCTCCCAACAACATAAAGTTACTCTCCACTTCAGAAAAAACCTAACTTACTACATCAACATTGCCCCCTTCCTTTCTCTCTCTCCTTACTACCTCTACCACACTACACCATACTACACCACCTCCGCTACACCACACTACACCACTACACTACACCACACCACCGCTTCTACACCACACCAGCGCACTAATCCACCACAATGGCCTCGGCAATGTCGATTGCGCAGAAGCGCAAACAATCGATCGTACGTAAGACTCCTCGTACTGGTGGAAAGGGACTTCCTTCGCGCACAGGTGGTAAAAAGCTTCCAGGCACTCGTATTAAGAAGGGACACAGATATGCCCCAGGTAGTAAGTAATTCCAGAATCCAGATTTGTAGTCGGCATTTGTGGTCGGCATTTGTGGTCGGCACTAACTTTCTCAAAGCATTGGCTCTTAAAGAGATCAGGAAGTGCCAGAAGGAGAGCCTGCTCTACATCAAGAAAACCCTATTTGCCAGACTTATCAAGGAGCTCGTTATGGATCAGGCTCATACACCTCTTCGTATTCAAGCAAGCGCTCTTAGCGTTCTTCAAGAATATGCTGAGTCTCTCTTAGTAAGAATCTTTACCTGTAAGTCTTCCTATTTCTTATTCTTTCTGATTACTTACTTACTTACTTACCTCCTCTAGCGGCCAACCTTTTGGCCATCTACGCTAAGCGCGTCACACTCCAAGGCAAAGATATAGAGTGTCTTCGCTCGCTTCTCAAGGAGTAGGGTGTTTGGCCTGACGATTTCGTGGTCTGCCCTTACAATTCTGGTCCTATCAATCCTAATTTCATCTATATAGAGCCAAAGAAGAACAAGGCTACCAAGGCGCTAAAAGCAAAGGCTACGCCAAAATGCAAGCCTCTCCCAACTAAGCAGCCTCGACGAATCGTTGAAGACGATTCTGACGAGGATATGCCAGACGCTACTCAGAATCCGACTGTAGAAAACAATAATAGCGAGGATACCACTGCTCAGCAGGCAACTCTTGGTAAGTTACTCTTTTATCATTAATTATAATATACTAATTTAATAGCTCAGGATAATACTCCGCTACTCCTAGATAATAAGCAGGACGATAATGAGCAGGATGAAGATAAGCAGGAACAAGATAAGCAAGATCAAGATGTCCGAGATCAAGATGTCCAAGGTCGAGACTTTCAAGCTAGTTATAATTAAGAAGAGCTAGATGATGATTCTAGCGATGATGAGCAAACTCTTAAGCAGAGGCTAGAAGCCTATGCTAATAAGCTGGTAGCGGCAGCTCACGCGCTTACTGTTGCGAAAGAGCGTTCAGAAGATAGCTTACGCCTTGCTCAGGAAACTCTCGAGGGAGACGCAAAGAAAATTGCGCGTCAGTTTCATCGTTGGCAGCGGCTGAATTTCGAGGATCAACTTTGCGCTTATCAAAAGATACAAGACGCTGAGGTAGAGGCCTTGAAGCAGCAAGCAAAGGAGCAAGCTGCTCTAGATGCTCAGCTACTTACTAAGAACTAAGGTAGTTTCTATCCTTAGTATATAGTAGCTCATAACTATAATCAATTGGTTAGAGCTTCCCTTATTATTCTGGTAATCCCTTTTTGATTAGTATATATAGTCGGTATATATGGTCGGCAGCTGCAATAAACATAGAATATATTCCTATCAAATTCTACGCTCTAGGAATCAGGTAGTAGGTATATATCCCTTATTAATATTTCTTTCTACTATTTTGTAGGTATTCAACTCGTATTATGTAATACCTATTGCAATACCTATTGGGTATACCTACTGGGTTTTTACCGTTGGGTTGTACCCCGCTTATAAGCTAGGTACCTAGCTTATTTGTAGGGTTGGGTATTTAAGTTGGGTTGTACCCAACCTATACCCAACCCAACCCATGACGAGGCCTATACTAAGCTACTATACTCTATAATATTATATATAAGAATTAAGTATAAAGTTAATACTATCTAGATATACTAATTGCCTACTACTAGAGTATAGTAAGGTAGCTAAAGTACAATCTATTTATCTTGTTCTCTAGAAGCCTTTTTCTCTAATCTACGCTTTGCTTTAGAAGAGAAGTCGGTCTTTCTATAACAATAAAACCTCCGAAGCGCTGACGTTGTTAACTTGTTTAGAATACAGAATCTTAGAATAACAAAGCGATACCAAAGTCCGCGAAACTAGGTCGCGGCTCTTCTTCGTAGCCTGATTTCAAGAAGTCAATTGTTGCCAAAACGGAAGCGCGAGTACCTGATCAATTGTCAACCGGGCTCGAGGATCAAGATTCGTCATCCCCGAGAGCATTTCGATTGCCTCCTCGCCCAAGTCCTAGACCCAGGCCCCTATCCTCATCAGTAGTTCTTCCCCTACTGCTGCCTTAGCCTCTCTCGATGCTGCTCGGAAAGCACTCCTCCAATCCTTATCTTTGATTTGCTCGTAGAGACTTTCCGGAACTGGACCGAAGTAACAGAAATGTTTGACTACTACTGCTTGCTCGGCAGAGATACCAGCCTTGACGAGGTCCTGATAATCCTTCAAAATCAGAAGTCCTCTACCTCCTAGCGCATAGAGGAACTGTAGACGAATGTCAGACTGATGGTTGCTGTACGGAACGTATGAATACGTACTACTAGCCCCAGCGAATAAATGTCCGACGCCCGGTTCGACATGCCGGTATGGCTTTCGGGACTTCGCTACATCGCATTGCCTATAGCATGCGGCGCAAGGCGAGTCTCTCCTTTTTTCAGTTTGCAAGCAATGTCGAAATCGCCGAGTGCTACGTTTGTGACGACCTTGTTGCCCTCGCTGTCGCATGTCCAGTCTACTAACACGTTGTCTGGCTTGATGTCTTCCGAAGATAGTCAGTTCTGTATATGCATGCTTGAAATGTATACAAGACAGACCAGCGTAAATCCAATCCTTGGAATGAAGTTCTTGAACCGCCTCTCCAACGCCGCGCATAATCTTTCCTCGTTCGTCAGGCGGGAAGGCGGGATCTTTCTCTAGGAGAGCAAGAAAGGTATCTCGGAAGTAAGGATAGATCAGGATGGACTCTTAGGCGTTGCAGTCTACATGCATACGAAGATGTCGGGATGATGGACAGTCGTTGCCAATCTGTTGGGATAGATTGAAGACGTGTTTCGGAACACGTTTGTAGATAAAGCTCTTGCCTTCGGATCTGCGTAGCTCGTTAGATCAATATATTTCCATCTTTCTTACGCAGTGCAACGAACTCGGTTTTCAGTATGTCCAAGTTCCTGTCTTGAGGGTTTGGTCTAAGGACCGCACCTCCGCGATAGATGCGACTAGAGTCTCCTACGAGGGTAGAATGCATTCTGACGCTTGAGATGCGTAAGACGACGTAGGCTGTGCGAGCGGCGCAGTATCGTCGCAACATCGTCGCAACACCGAATTTTCAGCTCAAAAAAATATAGCGACGCGTACGGCGCTAAGATTGGGAGAATACACGACAAAATCAAGGACATAGCGCTGCTGAAATTTCGGAGTCTGTAGCATAATGGTATCGACGATTGATAGCTTGGCGCTTGGCTGTGCGACTCCAGCCTGCTGCAGCTGAGCACTATACTAGCCTCGTAGTACGTGACATCGAAGCACTGTACTTGCTATAGCTTTGTAGTATAACCACCCGGAGTTACGATTCGCAGCGATCGACGCTTGGTCCTAGCTATATGTGAACCTTAGTGTTTGAAGACCTCAGCTAGGTAAAGACACAGTGTTGCATACCTCTGTCTTGCACCTCCCAAACCTTTGTCCAAACGTATGCAAACTGAGCTCGACTTCCACTTCTACGGCATGACCGATCTCGATTCCAGATTTCCGCGATGACCTGGCCTACTGCTCATCGAGCTATAAGAGAACTCCAATTCTCTTACTGCATGCAGCATATAGCTACTACAAGATCCATTCAAAATCAGATACCTACGAGCTGATACGATTCATACGTCAATTACTATGAGACCAACAACTATTCTGGCCAGTCTGCTCGCCTGGACGAGCCTGACCACGGCCGTGACAATCAAAGGTTGGGCTAGTGCAAACTGCAGGGGAGCATCAATGAGCTGCCCTAGCATTGGAGCCAAAAGGTGCTGCGTTGCCGCTAGATGGAATCCTGGCAAAGGTGCGGTCTCTAGCGGGTTCTCTGGCATGCCATCGGGAGCGCAAGGCATTGGATGGCAAGGGCCTGGTCGATCTGGTACCAACTTCTACAGGACACAGAGGAACCATCGCACCGGCAATAGATGTCTTGCGTCTAATCTCAGGGTATAGGGAACGTTTGCGGGCATGTCTTAGGCAAGGAGGTCTGCTGGCAAGAGAGATACGGAGGCTCTGGACGAGGATGAGGTTAGATGTGAATCGAGTGAGAGAGTCAGTCTGTTAACTCTTCAGGATGGAACCGAGTTTGACCTTGATAGGATAAGTAATGAGAATTTGGCGGAGCTTTGGGAAGTGGCGAGCAATGGAACCGGTTATCCCGGTGTACCAGCAAAATTTATTGGATTTCGGAAGTGAGCAGCCCGGTATTGGAGGCGAGAGATTGGGTTCTTGTAAAGAAGCGAAAATTTCGCAGGAGGTTACGATTCCCTCGCTTTACGGCATCGACTGCTTTCGAACACGTCGTAGGAGTTTGCATATGCAAAGCAGTCTTTTTGTCGCGAGAACAAACTAGGACACTCATTTATCAGTGCGATCAGGCGAGAAGCAATAACAGATCAAGGCAGGCTGCTGCTGAGACTCTCATCACTAGCAGCCTAAGACCTTGGTAGCATCATGTCATCCCTCCTCTCTATAGCGCAGATGAGTGTAGTACATGTAGTCGAGATGTTCAGGGAGACTCGTCCAACAGCACGGCCAGGTTCTGATGAGCGTTGAGGAATTCTTGGCCTGGTTCCGCTATGCGTGATACTGTACGCATAAGCACGAATGAAGTTGAGTATAGAGAGAGTGTGTGTGTAGAGGGAGAGAGAAAGACAGAGAGAGAAGGAGAGAAAGAGAGAGGAGGGAAAGAGAGAGAGCGGGAGGGAGGGAGGGAGGGAGGGAGGGGGGAGGGGGGGACTCGGGGAGGCTGTCAGAGCGGAGCGGCTCCACTTCCCCAGACTTGACCCTCTCCATGGGGCCTGAGCCAGCTCCCGCTTCCCCAGACTTGGCACGCACGCCCTGGCCGGCATCCATGGATCCTAGGTACTCCCCGCCTGTGTCCTCCCCCGCTCTTGCTACCTCGCTGGTCAGATCAGATACAGTCACGTCGTGTAGCAACGCCCGACCAAACAACGCCGTCTACAACACCGACGTTGCCACAACACCCGAGCACCACATCAACAACACCGCCAACAGCACTCGAGAGGCGGCAGATCCACCCGGCAGTAGCAATCGATAGGTTCATGATAAGCACCAGACCGCCACAATGCTGTGGCCTCCGTCCCGTTCATCACTTCACTTCTGCCGACGCACTGCGCAACTCAATCTGCCCCGACTGAGCCGCTTCCTCCCTGCCGGCCGCACTTCCATACCACTCTCCTGCACTTCGGTCCGGCATCAAGGAGCTGCAGCGGCCGCTATACCAGCCCGCCCACCGACGCAAGAAGATGCCCCGGTCCATGCCGAAGCAGACCAGCCTCAGGCCATCCCGTACTCCAACCTGACCATTGGTGTCCCTCTGGAAGTGCGCAGCAACGAGAAACGCGTGGCCATCACTCCTACCAATGCCAAGCTCCTCCTCAAGAAAGGCTTCAAGCAGGTTCTTGTTGAACACGGCGCCGGTTTCGCTGCCCAATTCCCCGCCCATGAATATGAGGCCGCCGGAGCCACCCTGGTCAATGCGAGCAGAGTCTGGGACGACAGCGACATCGTCCTCAAAGTTCGTCCTCCCAGGCTCCGCAGCACCACTCTCTCACCCAACAACTTCATACATGGTTTCAAAGAGGGTGGCGTCCTGATCTCTATTCTCCAACCCGATCTCGAACGCAACCAGAAGATCGTGCAGGCATGCATTGACAAGAAAATCACGACCTTTGCCATGGACAAGATCCCTAGAATCACCAGAGCTCAGAGCTTCGATGTCTTGTCGAGTATGGCCAACATCGCTGGATACAAAGCGGTGCTTGAAGCCAGTAACCACTTCGGACGATACCTGACTGGCCAAACCACTGCAGCGGGAAAGATCCCTCCCTGTAAAGTCTTGGTCATTGGAGCCGGCGTGGCAGGTCTGAGTGCCATTGCTACCGCCCGGAGGATGGGTGCCATCGTCCGCGGCTTCGATACACGATCTGCTGCGCGCGAGCAGGTGCAATCGCTGGGTGCCGAGTTCATCGAAGTGGACATCGAGGAGACCGGCGATGGCGGCGGCGGATATGCAAAGGTCATGTCCAAGGAGTTCATCGAAGCGGAGATGAAGCTGTTCATGGCACAAGCAAAGGAGGTCGACATCATCATCACGACAGCGCTGATTCCCGGCCGGGCTGCTCCCACGCTCATCACCGAAGAGATGGTTTCCGCGATGAAGCCGGGATCGGTGATTGTCGATCTGGCTGCCGAAGCAGGTGGCAATTGCGAAGTCACGGTTCCTGGAGAGCTCACGCAGTATCAAGGCGTCACCGTCATCGGATACACAGACTTGCCATCAAGGTTGCCTACACAAGCCTCGACGCTGTACAGCAACAACATCACCAAGTTTCTCCTTTCCATCTCTCCCAAGGAAGGTCATTTCGGGATCGACCTGAACGACGAGGTGGTGAGACGATCCATTGTAACGCATAATGGTGTGCTGCTGCCGCCTTTGCCACCTGTTGCGCCACCAGCAGCGCCTGCGCCGGTCAAGGAAGTCACCAAGGAAGAAGAAGTCGTGGCTTTGACACCTTGGCAAAAGGCTGTGCGAGAAGTCACCGTCATCACTGGCGGCATGGGGACCGCTCTCGCTCTCGGAAAAGCGACGGGTCCCATCTTCATGAGCAATGTGTTCACTTTTGGTCTGGCTGGTCTGATCGGCTATCGCGTGGTATGGGGTGTGGCGCCAGCACTACACTCTCCCCTGATGTCCGTCACCAACGCCATTTCCGGTATGGTGGGCATCGGTGGCTTTTTCATCATGGGCGGCGGCTATCTACCGCAGACACTGCCGCAAGTGCTGGGTGCTGCCTCGGTCCTGCTGGCCTTCGTCAATGTTTCCGGAGGCTTCGTCATCACGAAGCGCATGCTCGACATGTTCCGCCGACCCACAGATCCTCCCGACTATCCCATGCTCTATGCCATCCCAGCGGTCCTCTTCGGCGGCGGATTCCTGGCTGCTGCGACGACTGGCATGGCCGGGCTGGTGCAAGCAGGCTATCTAGTCAGCAGCATGCTTTGTATCGGATCGCTGTCTGGTCTCGCCTCACAGGCCACTGCACGATCCGGCAATCTGATGGGCATCCTGGGTGTGGGATCCGGCGTACTAGCTTCGTTGGCTGCAGTGGGCTTCCCGGTAGAGACGCTGGTCCAGTTCCTCGCGGTTGCAGGTGTTGGCAGTCTTGCTGGTGGCCTCATAGGCCGCAGAATCAGTCCTACCGAACTCCCACAGACCGTGGCTGCTCTGCACTCTGTCGTTGGTCTCGCAGCGGTTTTGACCAGCATCGGCTCCGTCATGGCTGCTGTCTCCCACCTCGATGCACTCCATATGGTCACGGGATATCTGGGTGTTCTCATCGGAGGAGTCACATTTACTGGCAGTATCGTTGCCTTTTTGAAACTGTCCGCACGAATGTCCTCTCGTCCCACCATTCTGCCGGGAAGACACCTCGTCAATGGCGGGATGGTGGCTGCCAATGCCGCCACCATGGGCTTCTTCCTAACTTGCGCCCCGGGCGCTCCGGCTGTCGCTGCTGCTTGTCTTGGTGTCAACACGGCTCTGAGCTTTGCCAAAGGCTATACTACCACAGCCGCCATCGGAGGTGCAGATATGCCGGTTGTCATTACGGTCCTCAATGCCTACTCTGGCTTCGCCTTGGTGGCTGAAGGGCTCATGCTAAACTCGCCTATTCTCACTACCGTGGGAAGTCTCATCGGCGTCTCCGGCAGTATCCTCTCGTATATCATGTGTGTTGCCATGAATCGCAGTATCACGAACGTACTATTCGGTGGCATTTCGGCTCCAGCCAAGACGGACCAGAAGATTGAGGGCGAGATCACGAAGACTTCGATCGATGAGACGGTCGAGATCATGAAGAATGCTCAAAAGGTCGTCATCGTGGTCGGATATGGAATGGCAGTCGCAAAAGCTCAATACCCCATCGCAGAATTCGTGCAAATGCTGAGAGCTATGGGCTGCGAAGTCAAGTTTGCAATACATCCTGTAGCGGGACGCATGCCCGGACAGTGCAACGTGTTGCTTGCGGAAGCCAGTGTGCCGTACGACATTGTTCTCGAGATGGATGAGATCAACGAGGAAGGCTTCGACGACGTGGACCTCACCCTCGTCATCGGCGCAAACGATACCGTCAACCCGATCGCATTGCAGAAGGACAGGTGAGTCTCTCTCTACGAGGTGAAGTTTCCATCGACGTTGGGTGGCTAACATTCTTTCTTTTCACAGCCCCATTGCCGGCATGCCGATCATTGACGCCTACAAGAGCAAGCAGGTGATTGTGATGAAGCGTGGCATGGGCAGTGGATACGCAGATATCCCCAACCCGATGTTTTATGCGCCCAACACGAAGATGCTGTTTGGTGACGCCAAGCAGAGTTGCGATGCGATCAAGGCGGCGCTTGACGCGGCCAAATAGAAGTAATAAGCGAGACTGGCTGGTACTACTAGGTCACACTAGAGGCTTCCAGTTCGAGCGTGATGGTAGCGGATAGCTGGCTGGCTTGCAGATACGCAGGCCGTAGCACCTGAAGTAATGAGCAATGGGCATCTAATGTATTGCGAGTCGTGTCCCTGCTCCTATCAACGTTTCGCTATTCCTTGCCTGCACGCGCGTGCATCCGTCTCTTACTTGGCCCCGTAACATTCTCGCTCGATGGACCATTTCAGTCGCAGGAGGATGAAGAAGAAGAAGAAGAAGAATGTTCGCTGCTCCTTCGGTCACGACGAGATTGGTCGAGCGGGTATCGATTTGGTTCTACGCCTCGTCGTTGTCATCGTCGTCGTCGTCCTCGTCCTCGTCCTCGTCCTCGTCTCGAGTGGTATCAGCTCCTTGGTCTCTCCGCTGCGAACTCCAAGGGCACCTGGAAAGGTAGGTATTCTACTACCATACGCAGACCTCGGCTGAAATGGTAGAGTACGTTGTAGAGAAGTTTTTGTTGAGGTCAGCCCTCGTCGGATAGGTACGCTAGCGGAGAGAGCACGAGCACAACCTCGCTTCGACAAGGCTTCCCGTCTCCGCAAAGTCTATTTTATGCTGCAAGCAGCACGGGCTCGCATTACCGACGCGACCCTCTGCACTATAGTCGGTTGTCGGAGTACTTATTCCTTCGTCTCATGCATGCTCGCGAACACTTCTGCACAGGCAGCAAAGCTCCTTGTCGAAGTGAAGTGCCGAGCTGCACCGGGTTGGGGAGGTCGCGTCTAGGGAAAGAGGAGGAGTTCTGCTGTGCGGTATGTACTTGTCTCCTATACCTATCAAGGTTGACCTGACTCGTGCAGCGACAGCATAGCACACGACACCTTCGGGGTTCGACTAGGTAGACTGGGCCTGCTGGACAAACGACACGCCGCGACAACACGCGAACAGGAACCGATCGGTGGATGGATAGAGCATGGCTGAACCGCAAACGACGACCGATCCACTACTCACTATCGCATCCGCATCATCCGCCGCCGCCGCGACACAGGACCCGAAAGATTCACCCTCGACGCAATCGCAGGGTCAGTCGTCACCGAAGCGCAAGGCCGAGGATGCTGGCAGCAGCGTCGTCCCGGACAGCACCACCAACAGCAGCGGCGATGGCAAGAAAAAGCGGCGCAAGGTCAATCATGCGTGTGTATACTGTCGACGATCGCATATGACATGCGATCTGGAGCGGCCATGTGCGCGCTGTGTCAAGCGTGATATCGGCCATTTGTGCCACGATGAGCCCCGAGAGCCGCCAAAGAGAAGCAAGAGCGAGCTTGTCGTCGCTGAACTCGCCCCAGCACCAGGCGATGGCCTGAACGGCCATACCGCGGCACATCTTCACGGCAACGGGGCGGGGAGTGGGATCGGGAATGGGAACGGGAATGGCATGTCTCTGGTCAATGGCGTGTCGCAGCAGGCCCAGCTCGCCCAAACCACAACCATATCGCCGGCGAATATACAGAGGTCCACTCCGCAAACGGCGGACAGCACTGCGGGATTCCTCCAGAACGTCGACTGGAACAATAATGGCGTACAGAGTCAGTTCCAGGACATGCACCACCTGCATCCGAACTACATGTTCAACCACCCAGAAGTCACGAATGAGTACAACCTGCTGAATGACTTCCTGTCCTCTTCCATTATGGAAGACGGAGCCATGTATACCGACTCCAATACCGAAGCGCTCTTCGAGGACCCTCTGCTAGCAACTTCCGCCATGGTCGCCCATGTTAACGATCCCGATCTCGCCAGCCTGAATAGCACTGTCCAGTCAGCCACCACTTCCAATGCCGGTCCACAGCAACGGCCTCCCTCACAGCCCATGCAACCTCCGAGCCTGCCTACTCCCCAAGTTGCTCCAGGACAGGACACCACGCGCCCCTCCTCCACATATCAAATTGACTCCAGGGCCCGCGACAAGTTCTACATGACCGCCGCTGATCCTGCCGGACTCTCCTCCGCCGAGGATCGTCTTCAAAAGCTGCTCAAGGCAAAATATGACGCCGGAATGCTCAAGCCTTTCAATTACGTCCGCGGCTACGCGCGTCTGAACCAATACATGTCGAAACATGTCACTCGAGCATCCCAACTACGGATACTCAAGCAGCTCGATCGCTTTCGACCCAAGTTCCGGGAAGCTATGCAGTCTCTGACAGATATGCAGCTGGTGCTAGTGGAAATGTGGTTCGAACGTTCGCTCATGGAGTATGATCGAGTTTTCGCAAGTATGGCTATACCCGCCTGCTGCTGGCGTCGAACAGGCGAGATCTTTCGCGGGAATGCTGAGATGGCTGAACTGGTTCGAGTGCCTGTATCTCATCTGCGAGATGGAAAGATGGCAATGCACGAGATTGTCAAGGAGGACAGCTTAGTTTCGTACTGGGAAAAGTTCGGGGCTATAGCTTTCGATCAGAGCCAGAAAGCTATCCTGACGAGTTGTACACTTATGCGACCAGCTAAAAGGAAAGACGATAGTGACGGGGACGATGCAGGGAAGGAGCAGAAAGAGAAGATGGAGGCTGTCCGGTGTTGCTTTTCCTTTACTATCAGAAGGGATACGCATAACATGTGAGCATCTCCTTTACACGCCGATGAAGATCTGAAAGCTGACTAACGTGACCTAGACCCTCTCTGATCGTAGGCAATTTTCTGCCTATTACGGAACGACGACAACCGAATGGACAACAGCAATAGTATTGCTTGCCACGCGAGGTTGACGGCTTCGTCACGGATTGAAAACAGCTCGATAACGAAGGAAGAGCAGCTCCAACTCTTTATGGATTCATGACTTGTACATAACTTTTCACTTTGAAGTGTACATAAATTTGTATATACGAACCACGATAGGGAGCAAGACCTAGGAGGTACCTAGGTTGCCATCGCACGAGGCGTAGGCAAGAGGCGCATGGAGTACCTCCTAGCGATAGTAAGCTCGAGTCAGACTTGCATAATACACGAGCGAGGTCAGCTCCGTATTCTGCCTGTAGGGCCAACGGAAACATTGATTCATAAATACGGTAAGAATTGCAGGGCTTTGAAGGTCGCTGAATATAAGTCGACCAGGTTGAACTTCTAATGCCCCCCGAAAAGTTGTGGTTGAGCTGCAACAGGAAGCGTACAGGTACCCGGAGGTTTTGCGGTGCAGTCGGTAAGCAGAGGGAGGCTGTTTCTGCAATAGAACATACCCCTCGGTAGCAGCCACCTGCTTCACGACCTTGTAGGTGGCGCGAAAGGCGCGAAAGGTGTCTTGTACCCGTCCAAAGTATGTTCGCGCTCAACATCGTGTAGGCAATAGTAGCTCGACGTCTGCCCGTGCTTTGTAGGAGATAAGGTACGTTGCATGGACACGTCAGGTCATGCCGGCCAGTCAAGTGTCTCGCGAAGAGACGAGAAAGCGGGAAAGTGGCTTGACGCAGTGCAATCCAGTACGAAATGGCAGAGTAGGTTACGACAGAAAGGCAAAGCCAACGTCGCGCCTGGGCCCTTTGGTCAATTTGCATGTTGGCACCATCATGCCACCATGATCGTTATGTGCTTCAGTGTCCAAACGAAGCCACCAGATTGATACAGGGTGTGGTCTTCTCGGCGGTGAGTATCTGGGAGGATCGTCATGCGTGAATGGGACAGGAACAGGTATCGTTGATGAGCATGCTCAGGCTCTTGACGCCGTAAGCTCAGAGACCTCCTGCACGGTGGAGAGACAGATGGGCGTCTTGTATGTCGATTGCGTTGCTGGCTCTGCCGCCTAGAGCTCGAATGACAGACAACGCCTTACCTTTTATGCAGGGAGACATTCAGACTGGGGCGTAGTCCAATGGCCCGCACGGGCGGCGCGGGGACTCTCAGTATGGCTGGGCTTGGTGCTTGCATCTGTGTGCATATGCTTTGTCAATAATTACCTCAACCGGTTGGGGCGGAGAGTGGCGGTGTGAAGAGTGGATTGACTGTGCCTCAGGAAGTACAGTAGTAGGAGAACCAGTCAGGATAATGGCCACTCTACCGGGATGACAACGACCGCTCTACCGGAAAATACAACAGGCACACATGGCACACACTGGACAGACACCAGTCGGTCGCAGCCGCTCCATGTATACCTCGTTTACATGCGTGCGGAGTTGCAGACATAGACGCATCCGATCCGGTCAGATTGCATCAGCTTGCTCCTCCACAGCACAGCAAAAGGCAAAGGCTGCATATACGCCGCCGCTGCTGTCGGCTCACGAGAAAAAGTGGCATTATTGCGAATAGGTGGAGTCGTTTGTGAACCGCTTGTCCTGTATAGTACCTCTAATTGCGAGCAAACCTCACTCACGTCTTTTTCCCCTCGTCCCCATTCTCTTCTGTTTCCTCCATCTGTTGAACCGCTTGCACCGCTTGAATGGACGGGCCTGGCTGCTGACTGTGACCTTGCAACACCACGACTGAACTTGACACGACCGCAGGCACCTCCCCAATGGACCGCCTCCACCGTGTGCCCTCACGATCTTCACGCCGAAACGAAACCTCGCCGGTACCCCGCTCGGCAGACTCACACGCAGGAAGTGCTACCCGCTATGACCCACGATACCACTACCCGCCTCCACCGCCAGCGGCAAGTGAAAGGGCACCGCGCAAGCGCAGGGTGTGGCCTCCGCAGCCAGTCGTAGAGGATGAGGCTATTGCTCTGCGGAAAGAAGCAGGCTCGCAGAGGCTGCTGAAAAGTGTTGGTAGAGATGAGGTACCTTCGCCGGGGACGATCGACCAGGATCCTGTGATAGTGGACAACCCAGAGTACATCAACGAGCACGAGAAACGATTTGTGTTCAAGCAGGTCCCAGATAGAGGAATCTCGGCGTTGCCGACGCCGCCCACGAGCGAAGACGAGCGAGCACGTAAGGCTAGGCGAAAACCGTCACGACTTGAATCGAAGAAGGATGACGAGAGAGCGCCAGAGCTCGCGACGAGGACTGCTTCGCCATATGCCTACACTAAGCCTACCGAACTGCAACGGCAGTCTTCGTCGACTAATCTTTCAACTCCTCCGTCCTCTGCTGCTAGCAGTGCCGCTCGGCTTTCCGCTAGCGGACCAGCCCCATTGTCTACTCGACGAGACTCTGGGCGTATAAGTCCTGCTACTGCTTCTCGAAGGAGGCACGACTACATTGCTTCGCAACAGAACTCGAGCCATGATGCCATCTATGACAGCGACAATGATCGCAAGCCCGCTGACTCGATGCGTCTACGCAGCAATGGCAAACGTGTGACAGACCTTCCACTTAGCGAGAGTCCACGCAATTCGTCTGCCGATCTGTCACGGCCTATTGGTGGCAACTTCACAGGAGCACCATCTGATAATGGCACTCCTATCAGGAGAATGACATTGGATTCCAGGAGAAATACCGACTCGCACGATACGCTCCCGACCGTAAATCGACTCAATGCTGAGAACTCACGCCGACCGACACCGCTCATGGCGGCAACATCACTCAGTGATGCTCAGAATCTGCCCTCAACATTGAACGGCAGGTCTTTAGACCCCGGTTCGGCAGACACCTACACCCTATCCCGGAAATCCAGCTATGGGACATCACGACCAGGCTCTCGAGAGGGATCTGTTGTCAATGGTGCGCCTGCATCACCATCACGCTCGGGTTGGCTGAGCGCAGACTTCGGCAGAGATGAGCGCGCGTCACGGGAAGGTAGTGTTGCCGGCTCAAAGCCGCCCTCGGCGGCTGGTTCACGTCCGCCTTCCCCAAATGCTCGCCCCTCGGGAGAGTCGCCGCGTATGCCTCGCACGGACATGGACTGGTCAGCCTTGCTCGCCGCAAATGCAGCCAGACGCAACAAGCCTCCTTCTCGCTTGTCATCCGCGATCCCGCAAAATGCGGCGTCCTCATCATCGACGTTGGAATTGCCAGTGGAGGCAGACAGGTCTCGCAAGGGGACATCACGAGAGACGACTCCTGCACAATCTACGACCAGCCTGCCATATCCAGAAGACAGCGTACTCATGGGATCAGCAATGTTCATGCCAGCCGAACAGGACTACGCCTACCAGCCAGGCAGACAACAAACGCTTGCCACAGATTACACGCACGTCAGCGAAAAGGTGCCGAAAACCTCTCTGCCATCTTCAAGCAGTCCGGCACAGTCCCCCGTGAAACCACTCCGGCCCTCATTGAACAGAGTTTCTTCCGCCGCTCCTGGCATGAGCCTCAAACCCACAGATGCACATGCATTCCCGAGTCGGAATCGTCCGGCCGCAGCTCGACAGCACTCTTTCGCCGAGTCCTCGCAGACTAAAAAGGAGATTGCGGTTCTTGCCAAGAAAGGATTGCCAGCCTGCCCAAGACCAGAACCAGTCAGTGGCAAAGATGACTGGTACACCATAATCGGGCATACCAACATAGACTTCTGTCCGGACTGCATCGAAACCGTCTTCGAGCGAACCATCTTCCGCAACTTCTTTCGTCGATCGCTTCCACGCAGCTATAGCGACAAAGTTCGGTGTGGCTTTGGCTCACCTTGGATTCGACTTGCATGGCTGCTTACATTACAGCAACAGCGCACCGACTTGACGCTGCTTCAAGACATTGCCGACATTCAAGAGACTAGTGCAGTGTGCCCTGGTGGCGTCAAATCAGTGCAGAACTGGTACGGCCTGCGTGATCCCGACGGTCTCTTCGTGCGAGACTTCCATCTATGCTACGGCGACGTGCGCAAGATTGAATGCTTGCTGCCATCCCTCGCCGGGATCTTCGTACGACTACCACATCGGGCATCTTACACCATGAGCGTATGTGCCATCCGCATGGACAGCACCCGCTTCTCAATTTACCTGGATGCGCTCGTCACCTTGCACGAGAAAGCACTACTTGCACGCAAGAATGCCGATCCGATGCCTCTGATCGAGCTGGTAGAGCGCAAGACCCGCCTGCGGGAGTGCACCAAGGATACTCTCCTCACTGGTGCTTTATGGCACTACATCCCCGACCTGTCGCCCGCATTCACCGTATGCGAAGACTGCTTTGAAGCTGTGGTGGAGCCCGAGATCAAGAAGAACCACCCAATCGCCAAGAAGTTCAATCGCACCGTCCAGCCTGCGTATGGAGAAGGTATGGGATGCAGTTGTCAGTTGTACTCGCCTCACATGCGGAAGGTCTTTGCGCGTGCTCTAGAAGATGATGACATGAAATACCTGGTTCGGAAGGCGAGGGAGAGGCGCGAAGCCGAAATCTATCTGCAAGAAAAGTTCCGAGGTGTCATGTCGAAGGCGCAGAAATTGAGCGTGGATGGTGCCGTCACGGAAGAGAACGAGAGGAGACTGAATCGTGACTTGGAGAGAATCACGAAGGAGTGGAAGGAGAAGTGGGAGTAGGTAGTGTAGCGGGAGAGATTCCAGGGTAGATGCTCATCCTCTATGTAGCATCCATAAAAGAGATTATTCTATGATTCCTATCAATCTTTGGGCAGCTCAACGACTCCGGTATATCTATTAGTTCCGTTCACGTGTTTTCCTCGAAGCTGTCAGTCGAGGGTCGCCCTTGGCACGCTAGCGAGTCATTAGCGCACTACGCACTATATAGTCGTTCGCGCACCTTGGACCTAACCAACAACCCATCCGGTTCGTACATCCCCCATCCACCCCCTACATTTTCCATCCTCAGCAACTAATACATCTCACAGAGTGCAAGGGCATTACGCATATCAGTGAGGATTCGTCCGAGATTGCGTTTTTGCTAGTTGAAAACTATCAACTGACTGCTCGTATTGGTCTTCGGATCGGTACGGAATTTTTGGCCAAACACATACAATCACTTTTCATCAGGGCGCTGGTCTTGATAGACTGGCGGTTGAAGAAGAGCTGACTTGCTTGCTGCTTGCGACACACTTTGCTGTCTGTCGGTGCTGTTGTCGATACAGGTGAAAGGTGAGTTGAGGATGAAGCAGATTTCCTTGTGTTTTGTCTCTGCGCACACCGATTCTATCCTATCCTTTCTACTCTTCTACGCCGGCTACGAGCACTCCTATATACTCTGAGCAACGAGTCCATCAGCTACTCGAGCTCGAGGATTGTTTATACCGCGTACTACAACTGTCTTGCGCTCGCCGCGGCGCACTGTAGACCTCAAACTCCGCCTCTCTCAAAGCCCTAGTCTTTAGACTCCTGCAGGAACACACGCCTCCCCCCGATCCTTCAACGCGTTACCGAAGAAAAAAGGCCGATGGCCGCGGACTGCGGGTTCTTCACGCGCACGCTTGAGAAGAGGTTCGACTGAAAAGCTAGAAAGAGAGAATGCCTCGGACACACACACACACCTACCTGCGCGCTACAGGACCTGCGGAAGTCGAGCGAGGTGGAGCGGTAGTGTGTAAGTTGTAGCTACAGCAAGAGAGAATGGACAAGGCCCTGGAGAACAGAATAAGGAACCACCTATCTGGGGTACGTACCTAGGTAGGTAGGAGAACGCGAGTCTATAGCGAGGATATTACTCGCTTCATGGATGATTTCTCTCTCTCTCTCTCTACAGACGTACCTAAAACCCGCTGCTTCAGCATTCCTCTCCAAGCCTAGAGATGCGGCGGCTATCGCGCTTTGGTGAACCACCACAGAGTTCCGTGCCCAAGTCGCTAGCACGGTCTGAAGACGACGATCCTTTCTGGCCTAAATAGAGTGTACAAATACCCTGCAACAAGCCGAATTCTCATGTAGCTGCACCGGGCGGGCAGACGCGCTTTTCATGTGGTCGACGCATCACCGACATCCGCCTCCAGCTCTCTCTAGGAGTCTGCGCCGCAAGATATTGCTCCCGTATCCGATTGGTACTTAAGGCACTTGCATCATCATCATCATCATCATCATCATCATCATCATCATCATCATCATCATCATCATCATCATCTTCCCCGTCGTCGAGATCACCAACTGCTGCGAAATATTCTTCCTCCCCAATCGATCGATCGATCGATTGCTTCTCCTCGCCGTCACAAGATGTTCTGATAGGTAAAGATTTCACATCCTCGCAAACCCATTGCGCTGTCGCTTCGGGATGTGCATGTTTGGCCAGCCAGCAGTCGTACAAAGTAAGCCCTCGTGGCCACCGAGAGCGGATTTGTGCAGTGCAGTTCAGTGACACCTTCACGAGTCGTGGCGACGACGCTCATAATTCGACTGACTTCGTGTGTCCTGTTCCTTTGCTGCCAACAGAAGTGCAATAGATCCGCAAAACCAAGAGCTTCGAGATCAGCATTTCGCGTTATCAAAAAAAAGGTCTCTTCCCAGATTGAAAGGGCCCTCCGTCGGCTGCGAGTGCAAGAAGAATGTCTGCATATTTCCCTATATATTCTTCGCTGACTGCCTAGCCCAGCGCAGCCCGGTCGGTAATAGCAATGCTACCGATGGACTTTCTCCTTGCAATGTTCCCAGCAAGGCCCCTCTTCTTCGCATCCTGTTGTCGTAACGCGTGCTACGAGCGGGTTTTAGAGAGCCGCTCTGCGCTCCGTTGCCCGGGCGGAAGTTGCACAATCTCCTGATTTTGCTGGAATCGTGGCTACATGGAGAGACGTCTATGCGTCTTTCGTCTTTCAGACTGGGGTGGAATCTGCGCCTCGTTGGAGCAGAGTGCGGACATTATGGCTCTTTATAGCTGCAGCGTGGCAAGGCAGTGATGCCGAAATTTTCTCGCGGATTGTAAGTCTGCGTTGTTCTCCAGCAGAATGTGGAAAGACGCTTTTTGGCGTTTCCAGAGCACACCCAGATCAGGACGGTCTGGCCTGAGCGAAATCTTGCAAGGACGTAACTTGTAGATGGATATTTCGAACATTTGCCAAGGTCGTGTTGAAGATGACACCTCGCTTTTGCTCTACTGCCTTGTGAAAATGAACATGTGCCGCCTCCAGCCCCTGGTCCTCGCCGGATGCCAAGGTTTCCAAAATAATTACTGCGCAGAAGTGGCTGTTAGCGGACACAGGGGCAATACATCCACACATGCTCTAGAGAAATGGATGGGACAGATGTATATCGAATAGTATGCAAAATGTGGCCGTAGATGCGAAAACATTTCTGGTACCAGGGAAGTTCGAGGAAGTCTTAGTCTTGCAGATCCTAGGTAAGGTAGGCTTGCTTATATTAGACTTCCCTTATGTATCTGGTATACATCCCGGAGAGGTCTGACACTGCAGCAAAGACTCGCCGCTGACAATTCGCTGACCACTGGAATCCTCCGCCTTCGCACATCTTGAGTCGTTTTCGCCAGAGGAGAGGAGTGATCGAAAAAGTTGAGAGACCTGGTCCGACCATGGAGAAACACGGCTGGAACCTTGCAAGCGTCGTGAACATGATTCAGTTCATCGTTGTGAGAGGTGAAGTGTCCTCACCCGGATGAGATAAAGCGATGGCGGCGTATACTGTATGGCCTCACTCCGAGGGAAGATCTGGTGGTCCCAGCCCTCAATCACACGGTTCCACGACATGATGGGGATCCCACGCTCTCTTACGACCTTGGTTCCTTGTGCTACAATATTGCCTATCAGCCGAATTGGTTCAAGTCTGTTCCTTACAATGCGTTCCGAATCTCTGCAGTTTGGATCCGCCATGCCGTCGTTCCTCGAACTTCATCGCGCTGTCTTCTATCTCAGCCAACGACAGGATCTAAGCTCCTGGCGCCCAGGAGGCTAGTCGCCTTTTGTCTGGCGCTCTATTCGTACCGATCCAACAGTGCTGCGGATCAGATGGTAGCTCTGCACCACGACAGACGCCAAATTGGAAGAATGGAAGAATTTGACAGGCACGGCATACTTCACCAAGAGCGTGCTGGGCGGCAGGGCAATCATTCAAACGCACATGCTGAATCGAAGCACTGGGATGATTCTGCTCGACTGTAGGCGTACGCCTATGTTCGAGCACATGGACTCTAGGCATGCGCCGAAGTTCGAGCACATGGAGCCCACATGGACTATTCTAGGCGTACGCCGATCTTCGAGCACATGGACTCCAAGCGTACACCTCTAGTCCAGCCCGCGGTAGATCACCAATGCGGCGGGCGGTCGACAGCGCCATGTTTGATCTGCCTTCAGCCCATCTTCATGCGGGCGTTGATCCAGATACCCGAGCAGCATTTGCAGCACACCTGCATGCAACACCCAACAAGCGACGCGTGTCTCAGGCAGAGCAAGAGACGCTGGTGCACTGGTTGACCAGTGCATGTTGTAATAGTGGTACGAGTAGTACTACGATATGTCCGTTCAAACCTCTGTCGCAAAAAGAGTTCAGCCGCCGCCACTACGTGAAGAAGAGCTTTGTTTGGGATAAGGACCAGGAGGCTCTGGTTGCGATACCGCGCGGAGGCAGTGGGAGAGAGCGGCGAGTCGTGCTCGAAGATGCCATTCCCGATATTGTGGCAAAGGTGCACGAGCAAAACGGGCATGCAGGATGGGATGCCACCTGGCGAGACGTCAGCAAGGCATATTATGGCATTCTGCGTGCCGATGTCATCTTCTTGTTGAAGCTGTGCTCTACGTGTGCACAGAACCCCCGCAAACAGCCCAAGAACAGAGCGACAGCAGTGCAAGACTTGGTCGATGTGCAGCCATCAGCTTATGACGACGACATTTCTTGGGCGCTCAATGAGCACCCCCTTGGCAGTTTATTACTGTTCGACAACACGGATGAACAGGCTCCATGAAAGAGATATTAGATGAGCCCAGGGTGGCCCTTCTGACCATGTGAGACTATACCTACCTAGGTAGCAGAAATACCTACCACAGAACTTCATATGTCGCTCGCACCTTCACAGCTTGTGATATTGTGAACTCACTGGTGCAGCGAGAAAGCCTCCGATTTGCTCAGGGTATGGGAAGGGCACCTGGTACATGTGCGATGGAGGGCTGTCGTGATACTGGAGTAGATACTGGAGTAGGCCGTGTGGATTCCAGCGGTCCTACAGAGACTACGCAGGAAGGAGTAAGCAAGTGGTATATACTGGAAGAGGTACATGTAGTGAATAGAATGCCAAGCGGAAACTGCTTGGTCCTCCTCTGTATACAGATATCAGTAATTACTCCAAACCAGGAGGAAAGTCGTAGAGAGTACATCGCTTCGAGGTGTTTCGACTTGGGACCGTAGGTCCTGTAGCTGTATGTATCCAATTCCTATCGACTTCATCGTCGGGGTCGCTCGGATCAGTCCGAATTGTCCGATTGATGATGGCTCACGAAAGCAGGCCAATCCAATGCAGCTCTGCCCGTCTTCCATTTCAACGAGCATCAAAAACCATTGTGGCCATCGCATATTCTGATGGGCGAAGTCATTGTAGTTTATGCGTTCCAGATTAGGTACTTTCCACACTACATGTATCTGATAATGTACAGTGAGTGCATTGTTGGGGTGTTGTCGGCGGCGGCGGCGGAGGAGGAGGAAGAGTTTCTGCAATGACGACGTGATGCATTTTTTAGTTCTCGCCTGATTAGAGTTTGGGTTGCCCATAACAACAACATCATTCCTCAGCTTAGACACCACCACATAGCGGACCGTACGTGACTGCTCTGCCTTCCTCGACGTTTTTTTCTTTTCCCCCCGACAAGACGCGCGCAACCGCCCCATCAACGCGACAATCAACGGCGTCGCCATCATGGACGCCCTCGAAGAATCCTCCCACCCAGCTTCACGACGCGCCGCAGACCGGTTACCCTCCTTCATCAAATTCCCGGCGCTGGTGCTCGTATCTCTCAGCCTGAGCGCTTTCATCCACACTCTCGCTTCCAACTACACCGGCCCGGAGCTCGGTTCAGTCAGTCGCGAACTGACGGAAGAATGGCAAATTGGCGTCATGGTGGGCTGGAAGCTGTCCGAGTTGGCGGCCGCGTGGTATCTGCGCTATGATTGTGAGTGGACACGCGGGCAGGAATAAGAAGGAAACCATACCGTATGAGTTGTTCGTTGGTGACTGACGGCTACATGTACGCAACAGATATCGATCTGGCCTGGTTGACGCTCTTGAGCAATGTCCCTCACTACTTCCTCCTCCACACCTTCTTCGGCATCGACCCCCTCGCCGCGCTCGTTCCGCTTGCCATCGATGTGGTGACCATCGCCATTCCATTCGCCATCTTCCGTGGCACTATCCACGCTCGCGACACAACAGCTCCACGGACACCGAACCAACTCGTGGCACAAGATACGGGCATTCTAGTCATCATTGCGGCCCTTGGTGCTGCGCTATACACTATCACCATCTACACAAGCTTCTACACTTGGCTGCCCACATACATGGTCATCCATTTCGATGGCCTCAAGAGCCTCGAAAAGGCCCACAACGCCGTTGGGCCCATCCTTGCCATTCTCTTCCTGCCTCTCGGCTACGGCGCTGCTCACTTGATCTTTGTACCAGCAATCGGATCTCCTGCCAACCCAGGGCGAACGGATCCTAGCTTAGAGAAGGCTGTGTTTGATCCTGCGAATGCCACATTTGGCCAGACTCTCGCATACAATCTCGGCTGCAGTCCAGCGGGCTTCACGCCACGAGCAGAAATCCTATTCAAGCGAACTGCTATTCTGGCAACATCGACCTTCGTCAACTCACTAGTGCGATCATATGTCACCATCGAGGGCACAGAGTTCATGGGCGCTGTGGGCTGGTCGAGCATCTGGGCGGTGGCTTCTCTATTGACAGGTCTTGCATTTTCTTGGGTCGGAGACGAGTAACAGGAGTACCTACTTGGGGAGAGACTGCTCATCGGCGAGCGTGTAACAGTAGAATATGTTGGGCTGCGCCATATCATGTACCCTATGGAATGCCCCGCCGCGACGAGGAATAGCTCGAAGAAGCTGTCGTGTGGCTTGTCCATCGCGACCGCTCGTCCTCGAACAAGCTCCAGGCGCCGCACTGAGCGACAGGTTCGATCCGCCGGTTTCAAAGGTCTTCCCAATCCGACGTGAAAATCCCATACCGCGAGAGCGCAAGTCAGTGCATGCAGGTCGACCCTGCCTCACGAATGCGCGATCACCACTTCCATCTTTCATTTCAACCCGCGCCTGCTTCCACCTGTCAAGATACGCAACATGTATTGAAGTGCTTGCCTGCAGTGCGACGGGCGCAGCCAATATCCACGATGTCTCACACAAACCATCGTCTCTCACCAGCGGTGACGTACTACTTCACCACCTACTACATACAGTAGTACCTGTACCTGCATGCCGATTTCCACCCCGTCGTACTGCTTGACCGGCTTCTTCTTCTCCGTCGTCCTCTTCCTAGCACTAAAGCATCTCGTCCCCTGGCCACAGGTCATCCACTTCGCCGAACCAAGAATGAAACGAATACTCCATAAAGCAAAGTCCATTGCCAACAATGGCAGATCACAAGAAGCAGCGCCGATAGATCCATCACAACAGCATATTCCTACACACGATGGCACGATGGACGAAGAGCGGTTTACTGTGGACCCCGTCACCCTTCAAGACGTCACGCGATATCGCTATCATCACGGTGTCAACCTAGGCTCGATCTTCATCTTAGAACGATGGCTCACACCCTCCATGTTCTCCGAACTGCCAAAACTGGGATCCTCGGAACTCGCAGCCGCAGAGTACAACATTCAACGCTTCGGCCTCGAAGCCGCCCGGGAGAAACAAGAACGTCACTGGCGCGAATATGTCACGGATGCCGACCTCGACTGGCTGAGAGATGTGGGCAAATGCACTACCGTTCGTCTCCCGATCGGATTCTTCACGCTGGGCCCGGAATGGTGCAAGGGCACGGCGTTTGAGAAGGTAGCGCCTTTGTATCAGAATGCGTGGAAGAATGTCAGAAGTTTGGTGGCGAGATTGCATGAGCGTAAAATTGGGACTTTGATTGATGTCCATGGACTGCCTGGAGGAGCGAACAAGAACGAGCACTCGGGAACTAACAGTAACAAAGCGGAATTCTGGTCGTCGAAGAAGAATTTGGAGCTGGGGACGAGAGTGATGTGTTTTATCGCCGAGGAAGCGAAGAGTATGGCCGGTGTTGCTGGCTTGCAGATTGTGAACGAGGCGGAGTGGAGTCATAATAGCAAGTCTGGATGGAAATGGTACGACGATGTCTTGAGAGCTGTGGGCGCGGTTGATCCTACGATACCGATTTACGTCTCCGACGCGTGGTTCTTCTTGAAAGCCGCGGTACAATGGAGTCGGACGAGGAATATGGCGAAGACGGGATGCAATCCTGTCGTGCTCGATACGCATCTCTATTGGTGCTTTGATCCGCGCCATGAGTCTCAAACGCCATATCAGATCATTGATGATGTGCGGACCAAGCTCAGTGAGCTGGACGGCAACGAGGGCTCGGTGCACAAGGAGGGTGCTGCCGAGGTCATTGTCGGCGAGTACAGCTGCGTGCTGGGTGAGCGAACGTGGGCGAAGAGTGGAGGCAAGAGCAAGGAGGAACTCGTTCGGCTCTTTGGGCACGCTCAATCAGCGCAATATCAGCAGCGAGCGGGAGGCACGTTTTTCTGGACCTACAAGATGGATTGGATGCCTGGTGGGGAGTGGGGCTTCAAACAGATGACGGAGCAGGGCGCCATCTGCTGTCCAGCGCATCTGGCGATGCCTGCTTCCGAGGTCGCTGCCCGTCTGAGCGAGGCTCGTCAGCACCAGAGCGTCGCGCGCAAAAGCGAAGATGTGGCGAAACACATCAGCTTTTGGGATGCGCGCGGCTCAGGCTCGTATGAGCATTGGCGATATGAGATGGGCTGGACGATGGGCTGGAATGATGCGATCGCATTCTTTGAAGCCCGCAGCAGGCACTTTGGTCTCGAGGGCTGCGACAAGATTGGTATGCTGGACCTCTGGATTCTCAAACGCTTGCGGGATTGTAGGCAGACGGGCGAGTTTGTGTGGGAATGGGAGCAGGGCTTTCGGAAGGGTGTCCAGAGCTTCTATGAGACTGTCGGCATCTCTGGCCACGATGGTTCCTAGGAGATGAGGTTGCCGCCAGCTCATCCCTAAAGAACATGAGCTTGAACGTCGGCGGACGGGGAATTCTCCGAACATCCTTTCATGAAGGCGACGGGAAGCGCCCGTTTGATCTTTAGAGACTGTGCAGCGAGTAAAGCTCGTAACAATGAGAGCAATGCCGGCATCTGAGGCGGGTGGCAAGAAAGTATCCTAGAAGCTAAAGGGATTGCCATATTGGTAGTCGTGCGACATTGATTGCGGTGGTGTCGAAAGGCGCGGGCATTAAACGATGAATTATGTAGATCTACATACCTTATGATCTGATGCTGAAGATATCCTACTGCGCCTGCGTGACGTATAGAGTGACAGAGCACAACGAGATTGTTTCACAGCCGCGTCGTGCGACCATTGCGTCTTTGATACAGAGGGACTGATTCAGGCAGCGAGTCGTGCGCCGGTGACTGACAGTTGGCCCGGACTCTGCAGGGAGATTGACAATATCCTACCTTATACGGCGCTACCCGACAGATGAATGGTATGAACTCATTAGATGCGGACGAGATGAGGTGAGTATCAGCCCAGGGAGGAGGATGGAGAGGAGGAGGAGAGGAGGAGGAGCAGCAGTAGAAGCGGTGGAAATGGATAGAAAATAGCAGTCGATAAAATAGAAGGAGTATAGAACCAAGGTAGAACTTTTAGGTACCTCCTAGTCCTGTCATGTCCGGCGCTTGCTGGTGCTCATGCCCGACCGGCCCACCCGGCGCCCACCCGTGCCATCGTCACGTCCACCGCCCAAGCCACGCTCGCCCTCTTTTGTTGTAGTCCTCCAGTAGCGCTGACCCCGTGACTGCATAGTACATGTAGTGTACATGCTTCTCTGTACCTACCAGGTACATTGACCTACCACTGCCCCTCTGCCTGGACTGCCTCTTTGGGAAAACAACAGCAACAACAACAGCAAACAACAAAGACGACGACGACGACGACGACAACAACCACGACGACAACCACGACAACGACAATAACAACGATCACGGCAACAAGAGCAGTGCAGACTCTTCTACGACGACGACGACGACCACCACCACCACTACCAGACGCTGGTCAGGCACCAGCCAATCGTGATTTCCTGCGCGTCGACCGCCTTACTATTTCGGCCTCTCCCTGTCAAACACACATCACGCCCATGTACTTCATCTGAGAGGGAGAGAAGAGAGAGAGAGAAAGAGAGAAAGAGAGAGATAGAGAGACAGAGTAGAGAGAGAAACAGGGAGAAATAGCGCTGCGAAGGAGGTACCTCATTACTGTAGTGACTGCCTGGACGAACTGAACCGGCTGGAAGCGCACGACGAAACGAGGAGCCCCCGCCTAGCCTTGTACGCCCTTAGAAACTACCTTCTGCCGTACCTGCCTTTGCTCTCTCATTACCTGACTCTGCTGCGACGCTTCCTTCGCGATTGCTACCTCCTTCTACTTCCGGACCCCCACATCCGAGTGCCAGCCAGCTTTGTCCAAACTGGACGCAACGAACGCGGCTACTAACCATCTCCTTCACATCCACGCCTCCTCGTCCGTCACGCTCGTCCTGTTCCCCCAGCAGCGCAGCGCCCTTCGATCGATCGATTCGCCATGGCACGCTCTCGGCCCCTTCGACGTATGTCCAGCGGCTCCAGCTCCAGCTCATCTTCGACCTCTCCCGAGCGCGGCGCGGACGATGACAATGACTCCTTCATGCTGCAGGCGAACGACTCGCAGTCCTCGCTGGGCGGCGACATGTCCCCCGAGTTGTCGCAGACAGAAGCCATGCGCAGAGAGTACGAGGAGAGATGTCGAGTGTCGCCGGTGCATCGCTTACCTGCGGAACTGCTGATTAGCATCTTCTCTCGCCTGACTTCGCCGCGCGATCTGCAGACGTCGATGCTGGTATGCAAGGAATGGGCAAGAAATAGCGTGGGATTGCTCTGGCATCGCCCTGCCATGAATCGATGGGAGAGCATACACAGTGTGATCATGTCCATTCGGAAGAGTGACAAGTTCTTTGCGTATCAGGACCTGGTGAAGAGGCTGAATATGTCAACCCTGGGCGGGCAAGTGAGCGACGGAACTCTGGTCGGCATGCAAGAGTGCAAACGGATTGAACGCCTCACCCTCACCAACTGCTTCAAGTTGACGGACTTGAGCATTGCGCCGCTTATCGATATGAATCGGAGTCTCCTTGCGCTGGACGTGACGGGACTGGACCAGTTGACAGATCGGACTATGATGTTCGTCGCAGACAACTGCCTGCGACTACAGGGCCTGAATGTGACGGGCTGTAAGAAGCTAACAGACAACTCGATTATGGCGATCGCGAAGAACTGTCGACATCTGAAGCGCCTAAAGTTCAACAACTGCGTGCAATTGACGGATCAGTCGATAGAGACTGTAGCTACCTACAGCACCCATCTTCTCGAAATCGATCTCTATGGCTTACATCAGTTGGAGAGCCCTTCGATAACAGCGCTCCTCACCAGCTGTCCGCATCTTCGTGAACTGCGTCTCGCGCATTGCGCACAGATCAACGACTCCGCCTTCCTGAACATACCCTACGATCCCGACCACCCCACAACGTTTGACTCTTTACGAATCCTGGACTTGACCGATTGCAGCGAGCTCGGAGACAAAGGCGTGGAGAGGATCATCCAAAGTTGTCCGCGGCTTCGCAATCTGATATTAGCAAAATGTCGGCAAATCACAGATCGCGCAGTCTTCGCAATCACAAGGCTCGGCAAGAATCTGCACTATATCCACCTCGGTCATTGTGCGCGTATCACAGATTCTTCCGTGGAGGCGTTGGCAAAGGCATGCAATCGAATACGCTACATCGACTTGGCATGCTGCAGCAACTTGACTGATCACAGCGTGATGAAGTTGGCCAGCCTGCCCAAGTTGAAGCGCATCGGCTTGGTGAAATGCGCTGGAATTACAGACCACAGTATCTACAGCTTGGCCATGGGTGAAATCAAAGCTGGGCGAAAGGTCAACGGTATCAGTGTCTTGGAGCGAGTGCATCTCAGTTATTGCACACAGCTCACACTTGATGTAAGTCTTTTCTCCTCCTTCTGCTCCGAAGTCCTACTGACATATGGATAATAGGGCATACATATCTTGCTCAATCACTGCCCCAAACTGACCCATCTGAGCTTGACTGGAGTTCAAGCATTCCTGCGAGAAGAGCTCATCGTGTTCTGTCGAGATGCACCTCCCGAATTCAACGAGCACCAGCGAGACGTCTTTTGCGTCTTTTCCGGCACTGGCGTCGCCAAACTTCGTCAATATCTCAATGAACAAAAGGCCGCCGCCTCACCTCCACGAACGGATTCCATCCCCGCCTCTGTCGTCTCCGAAGGCGATCCCATGGAAGACATCGATGACCAGCATCCCGACTCGGATGGCAGTAACACACCTGTCATGGTCGTCGATGTCCATGGACAACAACCTCAAGGTCATCCAACTCTCGTTGTCCCAGGGCCCTCTGCAATACCCTGGTCACAAATGCACTCCCATCAGGCTGGGAGTGGCCACATTCCCCATGGAAGTACTCCTTCACCACTGAGTCAGAGTGCGCCTGTCACGTCTGGATCCGCATGGACGGGTGTGCCACCCCATTTTCAGAGCAACCAATCCCATCTCGCGGGAATGATGGGTGCTGCAGCCTTGGACGAGACTGAGGTGGATGGCGATGAGGCTTTTGGGGAAGAGAGTGAAATTATGGATCAGGAATAGCTGTCGCCAGAGGGTAGGGAGCAGGAATTGATGTTGCAGTGAGCATGCCGCATGGATGGAAGAGGAGGTGCTTTTGAACTGAGTGGAACTGGGGACAATGACGGATGATTCTCATGAAGCATTTTTCATAGCGTCCTGCTGCTAACTGTTTTTGTTTTGTTTGCTTGCGTGGAGGCATTATCCAACAAGACGAAATTAGCCCATAGCGTGCCTTTTTTTGCATATAATAGTACTAAGGAAGAGTATACCTAAAGTATACATTACTAATGATCATCGGTCCTACCTTTGTACTGAGACTCGAATCTCCCCGAATCTCTCCATTCACATGACATCCAGAGCTGCTCGCCAGGAGTGGAGAGAGAGAGAAAGGCTGATGGGACGTGAGTGTGTCTCACTATAAGAGGTAGGTACATGTACCTCTAGGCTCTAGGGTCGGAGTGATAGACCGGCGACCCGCCCGGCCCGGTCATTGCTCCCCGCACCCGGCAAGCACGTCAGAAAGCGATGATGCGAAGTCGGCCCAGCTCTCATCCCGTCGTTATCAAATCAATGCTGATGGTGAAGATGAAATTGACGAGATGAGATGAGATGCGGCAGACCAACACACTTCTGTCCTTCTTCCTCACATCCTGACACCGCCACCGCCGCCTGATTGAAGTCATTGTTCGCCAGCCGACGTTACAACAACAACACCACCAACACCAACATCTACGAACTTTTGCAGCGACAGTTATGGTCAAGGGCGATCCATTCAAGCCCGCCAGCAGAGTGGCTGGCACGAGGCAGGATGTGTGGAGTATCGTCAACGAGGCTGCTTCACAATCCGAGAAGCCGGTTGTGAACATGGGTCAAGTATGCAGAGAAACGCAAGCATGCAAGCAAGCAAGGAAGCAATCCTAACTGGTCTCACACACACAGGGCTTCTTCGGCTACAACCCTCCCAAGTTCGTACTCGATGCCGCCAAAGACGCCTTGGACCGGGTCGAATGCAATCAATATTCCCCCACCGCAGGCCGACCACGTTTACGAAAAGCCATCGCCGATGCCTACTCGCCCTGGTTCGGCAGACCACTCGACCCGACAAAAGAAGTCACCATCACCACGGGTGCCAATGAGGGCATGTTGTCGGCATTCATGGGCTTTGTCGAGCCTGGCGACGAAGTGATTGTCTTCGAGCCATACTTTGATCAGTACATTTCCAATATTGAAATGCCAGGCGGTAAAGTCGTCTACGTCCCTCTCCAGCCACCCAAGGAAGGCGCGACGAAAGCTACGAGTGCGGGGGAATGGACATTGGATATCAAAGAGTTTGAAGCAAAAATCACGGATCGTACGAGAATGGTAGTGATTAATACGCCGCACAATCCTGTGGGCAAGGTGTTCAACAAGCAAGAGTTGCAGGCAATTGGAGATCTCTGCGTCAAGCACAACATCATCATCCTCTCCGATGAAGTCTATGATGCACTCTACTATGTGCCATTCACTCGCATCGCTACATTGTCGCCGGAGATCGCCAAATTGACCTTGACGGTCGGCTCCGCGGGCAAGCTGTTCTACGCAACGGGGTGGAGAGTGGGCTACTTGATTGGTCCGGAGCACTTGATCAAGTACGTGTCTGCAGCACATACGCGAATCTGCTATAGCAGCGTGAGCCCACTGCAAGAAGCTACGGCAGCTGCGTTTGAACAAGCAGATGAACATAATTTCTGGCAGGAGAGTAAGACGGAAATGAAGAGCAAGATTGATCGGTTCACGGAGGTCTTCAAAGAGCTCGATCTGCCCTATTCTGACCCCGAAGGCGGATACTTTGTCATGGCCAACCTTAGTAAGGTGAAGCTCCCTGATGATTACACATTCCCACCACATGTTGCGAATCGACCCCGGGATTTCAAGCTCTGCTGGTTCCTCATCAAAGAGCTGGGAGTAGCCGCCATTCCACCGACCGAATTCTTCACGGATGCGAATGCACACATTGTGGAGGATTGGCTGCGGTTCGCGGTTTGCAAAAATGATGATGTCCTTGAGCAGGCCAAGGAGCGGTTGAGAGGTCTGAAGAAGTATATGCAGTAGCGCTACTACTGTTGCTTTCATGGCTTCAGGTGGGTGTGATATGCTGTTGCCGCCTGCTAGTTTTGCTTGAACCTCATGGGCAAACACGATACGCGGCATGCCTAGTGTTGTGCCGCGGGCGAAGCGCGTCGCTGCAGCCTCGAGCGTTCGATCCAGCGGCCTTCGAATGCAGACCAGAAAGCATAGCTGTATTCGGATTTCTACTCCGTACCAGATGCAGTGCTGTCCACTGCCGCAGTGTCGGATCTGACGATACCTGTCCACAGATCATCCCTCTTGAACACCACCGTGACCACACTCTGTCCCGTCTTGCCACCAAATTTGAATGTGGGATATTTCGCCTCGTCGTGATAACGCAATCCACTATTTTCCGTCACCAACCATGAGATCAATTCCTCCTTGGTCCAGTTGCACGAAGTCACGAAGAGAAAGTTTCCGGGTTTGATCAATTCCACCACTCGTTCTCGGTATGTTTCGCAGGGATGATGCACAGCTCCTGCTTCGGTAGTAGTAGCACTCGCAGCAGGCATCAGAGAGATGGCATCAAACGTCCCCTTGTCGAGAACCACGTCGAAGCCATCTTTCAGCCACTTTTCATCGGCCTGTTCCGTTAACAGGTCCCACTGCACAAACTTGACTTTTGCGTACTCGCTTTCCTCTTTTTCTTCGTCGTTTTCCTCTTCTTCTTCGTCTTCTTCGTCCTCTTCTTCCCCTTCTTCTTTTTCATCATCATCGTCATCGTCATCATCATCATCATCATCTCCCCCTTCATCTTCCTTCCTCCTCCCCTCATAAATCCTTCGCGCAAGCCTCACACTCGTCGGCGAATAATCCACGCCCCACATCTCTCCTCTCCACCGCTCGCCATAATCATCCTCGTTCTCTCGCAACGCCATCAACATGTGGCCATTTCCCGTTCCGAGATCCAAAAAGCGGGCTTCGGCACGATCAAGCACACCTCCCGATGTGAGATCGTAGGTGGCGAGGAGCTGGAGCACAACTTCTTCTGCGTGAGACTCTTCGAACCAGTTGATTCCTTCGTCATCAGGGTCTTCGGTGTTGTTCTTGAGTTCGCGTTGGTAGCATTTTTCCCAGCTGGAGAACGGTTTTTAGTTAGTTTTCGTTTTTTTTTCTCTTCTTCTCTTTTTATGTGGGAAGAGGGAAGGAGGTGGTGAGCAGCTTACTATTCCTTGGTGCCGAGTTCACTGGGGTCCAGCAGCTTGCGTGTGTTATTCTCCTCTGGGTCGGTCATGTTGTTTTCATGTACATGTGTGTGATGAGTAACATGTATGAGGTTGGAGGTCGAATTTTGATGGATGGAGTGGGAAGATGGATGGAGTCAGAAGATACATGTAATCTCCCAAGACTTTCCGAGCCTGCACTGACAACCAACTCCACCGTACCTACCTCCTACTTCTATCAATTTCTATGGATGGTATCAAAAGGCGCCTTCCCATCTTCTTCTTCTTCTTAATCAGGTATTTATGAATATCTTACTTATCGGTGTTCGGCGCTCGGGATAGCCGTCTGACCGTGCCTCGGCGCGTCGTATCGCTCTCGTTATGCTCTTGGTACCTTGAAGTACGGGCATGTAGGAACTTAAGTAAGTCGAAGTAGACGTCTTGGCACTTGGTGTTCCTTTGGTCTTTTGATCACCGCCACCGCCAGCGCTAGTTCGACTTCTACAAAACAACGTCATTATATAGGTACCTTACAATTAGGAAGTCATCAGGATCCCATCTACAACACCCTCCATGGCCACACCGTAATGCTGCATCCTCAGTAATAATAATAATCATAGCAAAAATGGCAACACCCGCCCCGGGGACGCTCACGCTCTCGGCCGACCAGTCTAAGGCGCTGTTCGACATTCTGACGCACCAACAAACATACCAGGAGATCGAAGACTTCAAATACCCGGGCGCCATCCACAACTATGGTCCACCCTTTCAGAAGAATGTCGCGTCACCGCAGTCGCCCATTCTGCAAACCCTGGTATCCAAGTTCCTCATCAAACTGCCCGGTCTACGAGATGTATCGCCCGAGTTTTGGAAAGGCCGGGTCGATGCTCTAGTGCAGGAACTATCAGAGGCTGAGCTGTCGGAAAGTTATGACAAAGGTCTCCTAGGAATCCGCAAGACTCTGGCTACTGCTATATCTGCCTTGCTCGAGTACCCTGCTCGAGGCGTTCTGGGAGGTTTTCCTAAAGAGGAAGTGAAGCGATCCACCACATATGATACCACGAACCCCGAAGATGTCTTACAGGCGTGGCAGGATTGCGTGCAACAAGCAGTGTACGGAAATTTAATCGACGAGCTCTTCGCAAAGGCAGCCGAGACCGATGACCTGACTAAGCATGACTCTCTGGTGCAGGGCATGCATGAGTTCATGGTGGTGAAGTAGGTGGCAGGCCATGCTTGCTGGTGACGGGGAAAGACACACGCTGATCCGCATTAGTATCGCATCGATTATGCACTATACCTTGGTGCTATCACCGGAAGGTCCAACGATGCTGCGCATGCTGTCGAGCGTCCACAACCTAATTCCATATACCATTATACGCCAGACACTCAAGGTAGGGAACGTCGCAACAATGCTCAGTGGAGTCATGAGGATTGTGTTGGCAAAAGCTAGCGTGGCTACTGTGACGAATTGGATTGGTTTGAGCAGTGGTGCAGACGAAGGCATGAATTTGATGCAGCAGTTCGTATTCTCTCTCTACGCTCGGACACGCGCAAATACTAATTTTCCGGCAGAATCATGTCTCAGGTGCTGAGCTGGGATAAGCGCGAGCTGAAGAAGCGCGCAGAGAAGATTGAAAAGGCGAAAGATGGACCACCAAAGGACGTGCTGGCCGAGATCAAAAACTGGATCAGTCGCAGTCGCCAAGAACACGAAGAGACGAGGAAACACAGCCAGGAGCAAAACATGTCCATTGTTGCCATGATTCTCGCATTATCATCCGTCTCGTCGGAAATGTCGCCGGCGCAACATGCCAAGGCACAGGAATACCTCTCCCTACAGCTTGCCATCCGAGATCGACAGCAGATTGTCAAGGTGCTCTGCCAACGACATCCCGACATTCTGACGGCTGCCATCCGAGATGCCGTCGATGCCTACACACCCATGATTCGACACGTCCACCAGGCCGTCAACTTGAGTGATACGCTCTGGGATTTCGAGCGCTTCCTCACTGACCTGCTCAAGATCAGCATCGTCAACGATACCAAGAAGGAACAACAAGGACAACAACAACAATCACAACAACCACAGAAAGCCCCGAGTGTCGAAGACTTTGTCGACTTGCTCCATCGCCATCAAAGCAGCTGCCACAAATTCATCCACCAATTCGCCAAGAACGGAAAGGAAATGACGGAATGGTGGAAAGAGTACATCCACATGGCTGCCGCCAACTTCCGCAAAAACGACACCCCTCCCCCATCCGAATCCATCGTCTCGGATAAAATGACCACGGGAGGGCTTCAACAAGCCCTCGAAACCGAATTCTCCCACCTCTCACCCGCAGACCAAAAAACGATACACGAAGAACTGGATGCCTGGAAATCATATATTGATCAACTCCACCACGCCTCGACCGCACGCATCACTGCTGTCATCAAGAGGACACACTCGACGCCGTTTGGACCGGGCGCGTACCTCGCACGTTGGCAGCAATTGTTGGACGATACCCCCATCACACCTGCCACTGCACAGGGGCCGGTCCGACATGGAGCAGACCGGGCGGTCAAGGAGAATAGTCGAGCGAATATTGAGGGTGCAGATGCCCATCGTGATGGGAGTCAAGAAGCAGAACAACAACAAATACAAAAGGCGGTTGCCGACAAGATGCCCACCGCTCCCGTGTGCGAAGCCGTGTCGAGGCTGCTGTGGCCCAAGTTTCGACAGGCGCTGATTTCGCAGTAGCGTGCAAGTGGTGGTGCCACATGTTCATACAGAGTGGGAACAAATACATGTACATGTGATTGGTCTCAAAACACACCTCTTTTCATGCTTTCTCACATGTGCCGCACATGAAATGCAGCTTCCTCCGCCTGCGCCTGCGCCAGATTGAGCTGGAAATATATGTCTCTCTTCATACGTCTGTTTACATCACATGTCGATACCGACCAGCAGCAAACGTCGTGTCATCTCTCTCACGTGTGGGAATCAGTGCTCATCAGTCGTTATGGTACAATGTCGTGTCCTCCATCACAATCAGCGGATGGGGATCTAAAAGAAATTGCCATGAGGCAGAGCGCAGAAGATGCCAACGATGATGGCTGAAGCCACCAGTGCGCCCAACAGAGACTGCAGAAAGATGGTGTCTTGAATCTGACGGAGTGCCGGTTCCTGAATCCAGACTTCGCGATCGAGAATCTTTCGAATGATATTTCGCTGCTTGTAGCGAGGAACCCAGGGCTCTTGCTCAAACGAGTTGCGAGTGCTAGCCGCAAGGGACTCCTTCGAGGCCCACTTCTCGTTGAGTGCCTCCTCGGATTCGTCGGAGAATAGTTCCCATGGCCGCACGTGTCGGTGATGCAAGCCATGAAGGACCACGCACATTCCCTTCCAGGCGGCGATGAGTGTGGATATGCCGAGGAGCCATGCAACAATTGGTAACACTCTCCAACCACGTCCGGCAGAGCTGAGAGTGATGAGAATATCTGCCACGAGACCGATGAGCATAAGTGACAGGCCCAGACCACGAGCGAAGAGCACGCGGGGCCTGTTGCCGTTGCAGATGGTCCAGCGAATGAAGTTGGGGTGGGCCTGTTTGCGAAGCGAGAACTCCACGCTCGTGATGATGGCGCTGAAGGTGCTCGGGTGAGTCGTGTGTTGCAGCGCATGTAATACAGCCTGGCGCTCGCGAGAGGATAGGTTGAGCTCCCGAGGGCTCCCCTCGGCGATGTATATACTCACAATACGTGAGACCTCGTCGCGATATGGCTGAGTGGTGACTAGAGCTTGTCAGAGCGTGCTCGACGTGCCGATTTTGTATCTTTTCTTGAGTACAACATACATGGCTTCCATTTCAATCCCGCTTCACCAAATGCTTGGTCGGTAACAAGGCGGTGATTGTTGCCATTCCCGCTGCTGAGCAGGGTTTTCTCGTCACTCACCGACGAGGCATAGTCAGAGCCATTCTCCTGTCTCTCGTCCAAGGAGATGGTCTGTGGCGTGTTGAAGGGATCGACACGCTCCACGGCGGGCTTTGATGTTTTCGTAAAGTCCGAGTCCTTGAGGACTTGTGCAATTTGCGGGGCGAGTCTGTTCGGACGAGGTGGCGAGAGCGGCAGATCCGCTTCGGCGTTCGTCTTCCATTCGGGGGCCAGTGCTCTATCGCCATCCTTGAGCTGCTCCCATCGGGAGGCGTAATCTCTGTACCAGAGGTAGAATTGCAAGTTCTCGGCCGAGTACTCGATGTATTTGAGGTAGTTCATAAACTCTCGTAGCGTCACAGGCTAGTGGTAGGTAAGCAAAAGATCAGAAACAGCAGGAGAGTAGATATACAGGACAAGTGCCGCCAGTGACGATTCGGTCAAAAGATAAGGCGGCGGGGATGCCATGGCTCATGCCCGAGGTGCCAGACTGGAGGGAATCATTGATTGAGGGCTGCTTTTCGTGGCCATTGAGAGAGCGTTGAGAAGAACCGGGGACGTGCGGCGGACGGCGGTAGGCCAGAGAGTAGACCATGGTAGTGGTAGTGGTGGTGGTGGTGGTGGTGGAGGAGGAGGAGAAGGAGGAGGGAAATGTAGCAGCCAGCTCACGAGGCTGGCTGAGAAGAAGCAGAAGAAGAAGCAGAAGAAGAGGAGGAAGAAGGAAGCAAGTCAGATACAGATATTACAAGGTGCTACCTCCTAGGAGGACTTCTGGGATCTCGCTGTTCCCGGGCAAGCGCAAGGGAAATGCAGACCCCACTTCCGCGTGGCTGCTGCTAGTCTCGTCTATCACACGTGGCGAGGAAGGCGCGCGAACGAGACGGGAAGTCGAAGGAAGGAAGGAAGGGTCGAAGGGAGCTGGAAGGAAGGAAACAACGGCGCAATGCCGTTTTGTAATTCCATCCCGCTCGGTCTTGTGATTGTGCAGCTTGTAAAGCTTGGGTTGGCAGAGGCAGAGGCCGAGGCCGAGACCGAATCGATACGAGAGAGAGAAGAGGGAGAGAGAGGCAAAAAAAAACCGAAAAAGAAGAAAATAGCCGTACCCTCTGCCCTCTACCTACCTCCAAAGGCTCCCAATGAGTGCCCTGAAGTCTGGACATCAGATGAAGTTGGTTGCTGGTCGAGCTAGGAGGTAGGAGAAGTCGGCCAGTCGGTAGAAATGTACCTAGGGAGGATGCGATCAAAACGCGGTTGGCGGTACGGAGAAGGTGGCCTGTCCCCCTGCATTGCATGTACCTGATTGATCAGACATCTCAAATCGGGTACCTCCCCTTACCTACCTAATTCTCACCACCGCCATCCCCATCCATCACATCGTGTGTGTATCTGTGATGCTTCTCAACCGTCCCAACTTCACTCTTCGACTCGCTTTGCAATATTAATCTCTGCATGTCTGTCCGCCAAGAAGAAGAAGAAGACAAAAAGAGAAGCAAGCTGTTCCCATGGGTCGAGATGGCGCCGCCACAATCGCAGCTCGTGTGCACCGGTGCCTTTTTTGGCCACACCCGCTGCCGCCTTTTTTCGCACACGAGGCAAGGCAACTCAAACTCTTCTGCTGAACCGCGGCCCGGCAGAATAGGCAGACGTCAGAATACCTCTAGGAGGTACTTCCCTTGAGAATCGACCTCGCCCAGAGTCAGACACTTGCATTGTGATCTCGTGTCGTCTCACGGAAAGCCGAAAGTGCGCCATGAAAGTGCGGTGCGCTACAGGTACCTTCAGCCTGCTTTTCTAAGGTAATGATGATGCCGATGATGATGATGATGATGATGCTGATGGTAATGATGGTAATGGTAATGCAGAGTGAGCGTGATGCTGCATCGAGTGAGGTCGCTGACGAATGCAGGCCGACCTTGTCCATGCACATGGCCGATATTCTAGTCGCAGCCAATGACATGCCTTCAATCCTTCTCTCTTCCGCCTGACAGCAGCAGCACACAACAACAACAACAACATCAACATGTCCATTCAGACAGTGTCAGACATTACCTACTATCTCCAGAAGGGAAGATTACACTCATCCTGACACTAGTATTTATTACTGCTGCCCCGGGAGAGTGGACTCTTTTTAGGTGGACTATATTCTGTCATCTATGGTGCTAAGTGGTGATTGCGAGCGGCTGATCGACTCAATAGATAGACGCTGGAGCCAAGGTTCTTCGAATCTCCAAATATCTCAGGAACCCATCTTACGTGACACATATGCCTGAACTGGTGAGCAGGACATATCACCCATTCCCTCCTTCTCCTTCTCCTTCTCCTTCTCCTCCTCCTCCTCCTCCTCCTCCTCCTCCTCCTACTCCTCCTACTCCTCCTCCACCTCCACCTCCACCTCCTCCTCCCCCTCAACATCAACCCCCTTCAGCATCTTGTCCTTCATCAATTCATTTCCAGATCCCACCCATTCCCCCACTCGTCACATTCTTCTCCAACGCCTCCGCCTCTTTCCGCAACGCATCCGCCTGAAACCTCAAAAACGCATTCCGAATCCTCTCCCGACTCTCGCCATCCTGATTAATCGACCTTCTCGCCTGCAAACTCCCCGACAACAAGCCCAACTCGCCCCCCACAAATAGCCCTCCCAGCCCCAAGAAGCCAAACGTCGCCACATCGCCCGCGCGACTGGGCCGCAGCAACGGCGTCAAATCCGGCAACACCTCCTCTCTTCCGTCGGCGAAACGCACGGCCGAGGGTTTCTCTGCGGTGCGGAATGTGCGGAACATTGCTTTGCGACCACTGCGGATGCGGTAGGCCAGGAGTACGCTGAGGGCGATGCCGAGGGCGGATCCGAGCGTGGCGTGGAGGGAGACGGTGGAGGCGGCGTTTTTGAGGGCGTCGCGGTCGGAGGAGGTGAGACTGTTTTTGTGCAAATTGTCAATAATGAGTTGAGTTGAGGGAGGCGGGGAGGGAGAGATATGAGGAGGGACGAGTGAGTGCACGTACTCGTGTTGCATGTGCTTTTCTGCGAGCTCGTTGAGGTCAGGTCCGAAGCCTTTTCGGAAGACGGCGAGTGAGTCGGACGACATGGTGGTTGTGTTGCTTTATATGGTGGGTGGGCTTCTCTGTTCCGTTATTGGTGTCGTGGCTCTCGTGCTGCTGTCAATATCAGGTATGCAGGTAGTACCTAGTGTGAGGACTGGAGTGGCAGAGACAGCAAGTGAGGCAATAGTGCAAGTCAGGTAAGTAGGTACAGTATGTAAGAGAAGAGAAGGGGTGAGATCCATAAGGTATGCATGATTACCTGATTTACCTGCCGCGCCTACCAAGAAGGGCTGTGTCGTCTAACTGTTTGTGTACAGTTCGGGTAAGGTAGGTAGTACTAGGAGGGTAGAGAGGATAGACGGGCCAGGGAGCGTCATATCGCACATCACCCTCCACTCCCCGGACATGTGGACTCCCCGCACTTTTCCAAGACCGCCGCCATCCGAACGTGCATCGGTCGCAAACAGGTCCGACCTCCATACACGTGATGAATAGACGATCCGTCTTTGCCCGATCTTATATATCATTCCGATGGTGGTGCTATACCGGCTTCACGTCTCGGCACTCTCTCACTCATATCGACTTTGTCTAGACACACCCACCCACTCGATCCCTTTACAGCTTACTCACACCACCACCACCACCATCACCCCCCAAAAACATCCTCAACACATTCGCCGTAATCCTCGCCACATCATTATCATAATCCTGCCACCCCAACGCCACATACCAACTGATACTCCCCACCGAAAACACCGCTCCTCCACCCGCCGTCTCATGAAAAGTCATATCCGACCGGATCAAATCTGTCTGCGTGCCCAACGTCTTCATCATGGGGAAATGCACATCTTCGGGAAATAGGCCAAAGCGATCGGAATGGCCTGTCGAACTCGCCAAGACGACCAAATGGCGCGGAGAACCATATTGGACGTCTGCTCGATCGATTTCATCTGCGGATGCACCGCCTCCGAATCCGCCTAGGGCATTGTGACCGAAGGTGAAGAGATTCTTCTGTGCATCTGCATCTGCATCATTCTTGTTGTTGTCATTATCCATCGGGTGGAAGACGCCCGCAAAAATGTTTGCGTAAAGTAGAGGGAATTCCTGAGGTAGAGTGGGTGACATGCGATAAGGTACACCCGGACCAGCTCCTTCGCCACAACATCCAATTCCCACGAGATAGTTTGCAGCTTTGCCTCGATCTCTCCACAAACCACCGACCAAGCCATCATTAGAAAAATGTCGTTCACCAGGTTGCTGGTGGGAAGTTCTCACGCCTTGTCCACCTCGTCGGACTTCCAATCGATGCGGATTGAGAGTCGGGTGCAGCGCACTCGACCAGTAAAAGCCATTCCCTCCCAAATACATGAGTTTACCACCTTGGCGAAGAAATTCTTCATACGCCGTATACGATTGCAGCGTAGGATATTCCGGATGACAACCCGTCACCACAACTTGATATCTCCGCAAAGCAGCCACTCCTCGAAAATGCAAATCATGATCCGTAAGCACATCACACATAATCCCCAAGCGATCCAAAAACCCCACCATGAGCAGTTCTGCAGAAATTTCTCGGGGTCGATGGCCCGTCCAATTGATATATCCGGGTCGATGGTTCAGCAGAGGGCGTTTGCTCGAGGAAAAAATTACACCGCTGCCGTCGCTGTGCACGTCGTAGCACGAGAGACCCAGATCGCTGCGGCGGACGAGTTTGCCGAAATCTTCGTCGCGGTGGAATTCAAAGGATCCGAAATCGTCGGGGACTTCGGCGCGCGCGGGGGAGTTGGGGTCCCACATGTGTTCGTTGGCGTACTGGAGAGGGAAGAGTTAGTACCAGGTAGCCTACGGTGTGAAATGTTATAGGTATCTTGTCTTTATGGTCAAGGCGAGATTTTTCTTTTTTCTTTTTTTTTTCTTTTTTTTTTTTTTTCTTTTTTTGGGGGCAAAAATGAAGTGAGTCGCTTGTCAAAACTTACAGCAAGATATGTAAAAGTAGATGCTACCAACGCCACCTTGGGCTGATGCGAAGGAAGAGCATCATCAACATCCGACGGCCTCACAAAGAACGGAATCATATCCTTAGCCTTGCCAGAAGTGCTTTCAATCTCAACAGCATAAACACCAGATCTAGCCGTAACAGGAACAGTAATCGTAAAATCCGTCTGCCACTTCGCATCGTCGAGATCATCATCATGGAAATGAATAGCGCCATAGTGTTGACTATTTTTCGTCCAGTCGACTTCTGTGCCAGGCCAATTGTAACCTTTGACTGCTCGTGTAGGCGCATTGAGGAGTCTACCGTGCCGTTCGTGAGCGGAAATGTCGATGATTGTGTCGCTGGAAATGTCGCGCGAGAAATCATAATGTGCTAATGTACGAGGTGCTGGTGTTCCGAAGGTTTCAAATTTGACGGCTTCGAGACGACCGTTGAAGTGGTTTGCGTGAAGACCTTTTTCTTCTTCAGAGTTGGTGGTGGTGACTGTGGTCGAAGAAGACACAGCACGTGAAGCAGCCAGGAGCAATTCCGTTGTGAAATCGCGCACTTTCGCAGAGAAATCGAGCTCAAAAGTCTGATCCAGTATACGGCCAGGAGGCACGAGTCCATCCTCTAACTCTGTGACTTGAAGACGCACAGTACGATCCTCGACCTCGAGAACAACTCCAATCCAGCGAAGTTTCTCAGCAATGAATTCCGTCTTCAACACCTCAACCTTCTCTCCCGTTCCCATCCAAACCTGAAATGCCCCATCAGTACCCAAAACGACGGCAAAACCCATACAAGAAACCGTATCAAGCGTCGAAACAAAAGTCTGCACATGCTCACAAGCAACCAACCAAGGCTGCGCATAAAACGCAACTCGAATCCCCTCCGGATCACTTTCACCAAAGAGCAAAGGCGGTAATTCGGCCCACGAGCCTGGATTCGCCAACTGAAATCTCCCAGGCCGAATTTCTGAAGGGATTTCTGAAATTTCCTTGACGACTCGGGGCGGACTATTCTCGCCTTCGTAGCCTTGGAGAACATGGACGGTGCGGGACTTGTATTCGGGCTCGGTGCAGGAGATTTTGATGGCGACTTGATCTCCTGGATTGACGATCCAGGGCTCGGCGTAGCCGGTGATTTCGGGAGGGTAGTTTGGTGGAACGGGGTGGATGGTGGACATGTTTTTTGTAGAGTCTTCTTCTTCTTCTTCTTCTTCTTCTTCTTTTTCAATTAATATACTACATGCCTTGAACAGAAAACATAGGTAGTGCCGTCACACCCCAGGTTAGATCTCTTCCCCTCCCCTCCCTAGGAAGGCTAAGCAGCCTGCCCATTATGCCATCATCTGGCGGGGATATGAAGTCGCTCTCTGTTCGTCCGAAAGTCACCAGGTTGGAAAATACTTTAATCAATGTTTGAATGTTTGGCTGGTTATCTTTTACTTATCAAACTTTCGAGACTGACTGACGCGTGCCTCTATCTCTCCCTCCCTCTCTCTCACTCTCTCGTTAGGGTCGCCGTCGCCTCATTTTTTTTGTTTTTTGCAATTCTACCGCTGGCCGAGGCCAACCTTGAGGTCTGAGCTGCTGTGTGCAAGGGGGGATATAGCAACAAGCTCACATTCAAACGGAGGAATCTGGAAGAGGATGAGGATCTAGATTTGGTCTAGTTTATATTACATCATCATCCTCCCTCTATACATGATCATTTCACTTGTGAAAACACACACACACACACACACACACACACACACACACACACACACACACACACACACGTAA